TTAGCACGTCTGTATTTTCTCCTTGCAATTTAGTGATAAAAAGCACAGTGAATGTACCTTTTCACTTTTTGAAGTACACATAACACTCGGATTTAAATCCGAGGTTTTCGCATTTATTTTACATTAAGTGCGAAATAATTCTATATAAAACATATCGTAGTAGAAACTAATTATTATTTATTTAATTTATCTATTGATTCAATGTACAAAGTAACAGAACTAAAATCGATAAAATATATGAAAACGTCACGTGACGAACAAAAAACTAAAGAACAAAGATTGTATTTTGAATTATTTAATAATTCAATTTTTACCTCCTGAAGAATTTGACCCGAAATTTGCTGACAGATGAATCACTGAAAGTGTATGAAGAATGTGAAAGAAAAAAAAAGTAGAACAACGATTTTCAAGGTTTAAACAAATAAAAACTAAATTGTACAGTACATTTTTACTTAAATCATCTCTTCATATTGATCGATATGTTTTACAAATATACAGAACTAGGTGAGAGTGCAAGCACGATTATTAAAATGAAAATATTACGATTAAACAAAGAATGACAAAAAAAAAAAAAACAAAAACGAACTTTTTATCATTAAAAAAGATTTCTAAGATAGTTCGAGAGTTAAGAAAAAGTGATGAGTAATAAATAGATTATAGATAAACAAGATTGATACAAGTCTTTTTTAGTTTTTTTCTATTAAAATATTTTGTTAGTCGGATTGAAAAAGTTTCTTCTTAGAATTCTCGTGTAGATTTTTACCATTAAAAAAGATGATATTATCCAAATATAAACTAATTTGAGAGAAATAAAACAGAGTGGTGCGGTTTTCATTATTGAAAAGTGAAGATGAAGCCATGTCGAATCATATATTATAAGATTTTTCTGAGATGGTTTTTTTTTAATTAAATTACTAAAAAAAAAAACGTCGGAAAAAGGATCCCTTATAATATAAGAAAAAAGTGAAAATTTTAACTAGAATATCTATGACTTTTGAATAACTAAATCTAAAAATTTGAGACTTCCGCAATTTTCTAGATCTTCTGTTATTGTCTCTAATGCACAGTTAATTATTGAAAAGTTAACTATAATTACCTCGCAGAATACGTTAATTTTCAAGAATGCCTATTAAAAAGCTAGTTCGAAAAAAACTTGTGATGTACAATTCAATGTATTTTTATCTGGTTTCTATAAAAAAAAATTATTTAAAAAATTTCTCACTCGCTTTACTATTAAAAATTCTAAAAAATTTCCCTATGATTGTTAATATTTCGTGATAACTAATTAAACGTATTTAATCTCGATAGACCATTTTTTCCACTTCGTTGCTATGACTATTTATTCAATAATATTTGTCTTTCCTCTACTCACTCGTAATTGTTAGAATCTTGGAATGCGTGTTGAAAAAACTTCTATTTAATCTTCCATTGATTACTTTCTTAGAAAATCTATGTAAATTCTAGAAAAATAAATAAATCCAACTCATTACTTATGTTTCATTTATAATATGCTAATATTCTTAAAGACAAAATCTATATAAAATATTGTTGGAAGAATATAATAAATGAAATTTGATTGAATTTTCTAAAAATATTTAAAATAAATAAATAAATAAATTATTGTTTTCTTGAATAACTTTATTTTATTTATTTTTGTTTTTGTTTTTGTTTTTGTTTTTATTTATTAAAAATGTTATTCTATTATTTGTGGTTGAAAAATCGTTTTTGAAATATAATCGTTTTTCTGGACCTTGAACTGTATATGTTATTTGAAATTGTCTTAAATATATTTCATTAAATATAAATAAATAAGAAATAAAATAATTATCTTGACTACATAAATGTTGACCATTTGCTATCCATCGAATATTTGATGATTGTTTTGATTGAAAATAAATTTTATGAAATATATAACAAGGTTTATTATTATTATTATCAACAAAAAAACAGTTATTAAATCATTATTATTATCATAAATATAAATATATTTTTGTGTTATATCTAATGATTGTTTAGATGATAAAATTAATTTTCCTTGTTCTTTATAAATAAGTTCATTTTGTTGAGAAAAATAAAATTCTGCTTGACCATTAACAATACCATCAGATGGTTTACCTTTTAATGTTCGTTCAAATTTCCATTTACTTTCATGAAGTGAACCAAATACAACACCACCAATAAATTTACCATTATTTTCTTCTTCACATATAGAATTAATTTTATTAATTATTAATTTATCAGGTTCATTTATTCGATATTGTGTTGATATAACAATATCATTTAGATTTTTTGAAGATTTTTTGAAATATATTTCTTTTTCTAAATCATTAACAATACCAATATAATCATTATGTGGAAATTGAGGACGAGGTTGTTGATCACCTATATGATGTTCCATATCAATACCTAATTTTTGTAGACTAATTGAAGAAATTGATATAAGACCAGAAAATATTGAAGCTACACAACGTGATTGTAATTCAATAATTAACCAAAATGAACCTCGATACATACCAATAAATGATAAATTAGGTAAATTTCGATGAAATATACAACGATGAACAATAATTGGACAAAATATATCATCAGATATATAAGATAATTGTTTAAGAATATCTTTTGAAATAAAATCAAGATATGATCGATAACCAGTACATAATATAAGAATATCTTCTGAAGTTGTTTCAATTGTTATTCGATTATTTCGTATTAAGAAAAATATCCAATCAAGACGTTCGTTTATAAGTGACGCTATTATTAAATTCAATTTTATATTTTTATTGTTTATATATAGTTTTACTGTCTCTAATGTTAACTAATATAAATAAATAATGTACGAATATTGTTTATGATTAATTCCTATGTTCCATATTTTTCAATTTTATTTTTAATTGTCATTGTTTTAAATTTATTTTACTTGAACGATTTCATTCAGC